GATATGCTGTGATTCTTCCATATGACCCTGCTGTATTAAGCAACTTCAATATTGCACAATTAGGATAAACAATGCTACATTTGTCTGTCAGAAGATTCCTTTTTCACTGGTAACAAAAATATTATGTTAGCAATTAAATACCAGCCCTCCTCAATATATTTCATAGCTAGCCTTGCCACTAAGGTAGCATTTCTATGGCAGCAGCAAACAAAAAGGATTTCCCTTCCATTGCTATCCTGATATAGCCTCTGCTCAGGAACGATAGGCAAAAACGGTCATAAGGCATGAAACCTAAAAAGCAGGCAAACGGGCAGGTGACTCCAAGGAAAGTAGAGGGTGGACAAGAGATGCAATGGCAGAGGCCCAAGTTTACATGAGCTTGAACTCACCTGACAGAACAGTGTAAGACATCAGGGCATGAAAAGATCCCTCCACAGTTTCTCCCAGCAAAACCTGGTCTGATATATTTGGTTTCCTCTTCAACATCCCTCCCTTTCCTTGGAATAGCTGTGCCTGCCACCCATTGCATGGTCAGTCAGCAATAACACTTTGTGCAGCCCTTGTTGAGGAACATCTCTTCCCTTTAGTCACTGAGGCTGCCATGCACACTCCCTACAGAAATGATATAGAAGAGTACTCATCGTTGCAGTGTGTGTGTATGCCATCCCAATCCACACAAACTCTTCCTGGGAAGCCAACGCAACACAGAACGCAAAACAAACCAAATCAAATACAGTAAATGCAATCAAATGTATCCCACAAACACCATGTAGAACATCATCCTGGCCCAGCTAAGAACTAAACATGGAATCCTCACCAGTGAATGTGCCTTGCTGTGTTCCCCTCACTGTTAAATGTGTGGACCACAGCTGGTTTGCAACTAAATTTAACTATTTAGATTTGAGGTATCTCCTGTTCAGTCATGTCTTCAGGTGGGCAAGATACTATAATTAACAAGGTAGCTTCATGACCTCATCATAATGGAGCAAGTTCTTGACCTTGACCTTTCTCCCGTTCTCAGAGGCATACCCTTGTGCCCTTTGCAAGGAGCTGTATCGGTGCCTGCAAAGCTGGGAGAAACTGTGGAAGCCAACAAACAAATTGACTATGGGGTGAGCGAGACAGAGCTCCTGGCCTAGGAAGTGTCTCACTGAATTCAAAAGAGACTTACTTCTGAGCAGGCATATACACGGTTGCACTATTAGGGGCACCAAATATTGGCATTGCAAAGGGCACTGCTTTAAGCCAAAGCCAGCCACTGCACATGGGGGGGGGAGAGCACTGAGCTTCTGGTTGGAGGGGGGAGAGGTTCCATTTTCCCAGGTGTTGCAAGCAGTGCCAGAAAGCCCTGTCACACACCAAGGGGCTTCTGGCGGTTCCCTCACTGCAAGAAGTGAACCAGTCGGAGGAGCTTCTCAGTAATGGTGCCTGCCCTGTGGAACGTCCTCCCATCAGATGACAAGGAGATGAGTAACACTATAACCTTTAGAAAACACCTAAAGGCAGCCCTGTATAGGGAAGCTTTTTAAGGTTTAATATTTTGTTATGTTTTTATATATGCTGGAAGCAGCCCAGAATGGCTGGGGCACAATAAAGTATTATTATTGGTCTGTCCATCTCTACTAGGGGCAAAGAGCAGCCCGGCTTTCCCAACTCCCTCACGGCTCCATCACTCTCTCACTTCAGCAGAGCAAGTTCCTCAGATCTCCTTCTTTCGCCTCTTTCTCCTCCCCTCATGCCGGTGCTACTGTAATGTGTTGGGGGCCACTATTACTGCAAAGACAGCCATGCTGAAGACAAATGCCTGCTCCTCCTGCTGGAGCAGGAAGGCAGGGAGCTGGTGAGAGCGGTGATCCATAGGGAAGCCTTGGCTATGGCTCCAGCCTCTGGCCAAGTTGGGCACAGCTAAAGCTGGAAGGAGAAAAGGTGGATTCACAGGCCCTTTCTGCCTGTGCGCATACTCACCTGTGGCACGATTTTCACTCCCCACTGGGATTGCAGCCTTGGTGGGTGCCACTTCACCAATGTCTAGGTATGCCCATTCTACAAAGGATAGCCACCGTTGGACTAGTCAGGCCTTTGGCCTGAATCACTAGGACTCACACTTATGTTCCATTGTAAACTATACACTGGCCTGTATAGTACTCTGAATGTCCAGCCAGGAGAACATGATCCTTGGGTTTGTAAAAACATTCAGGCACCCACCCCGCTGTCTGATTCCAAATAAAGAAAGTTTTTTTTAAGGAACTAGGTTGGTATTACAGATAGTTTTAAGCAAAGTAAATTGTTTTAGCATTCGAGTCAAACATTGGCAGGGACCGAGTAGGAGGAAGCATAGGGGGAATATTTGTTTTGCATTAAAATGTAAAATCTATATTTAAAATCAATATTTTTAAAAAGTGTTATGTGACTGTTCACATTTTAAAATACACATACAGTCATACCTTGATTCTCGAACAGAATGCATTCCAGGAGTCCTTTTGACTCCCGGAACCGTTCGAAAACCATAATAAATATTGATGTTTATCTTTCTTCACCCTTGTTTCTTCTTCTCCTTCTCCTTCATTCATTAATTAAATTTGTATACCGCCCTATACCTGTAGGTCTCATGCAAATCTTCCCTGGTGGGGTAGGAGGTGCCATTTTGGACCCAAGACATTTTGGCATCTGAGGTGGACCCATAAAGTGCAGCTCAGGTGGCTAGTTTTCATACATCTATCAGAGCTAGCCATCTGACCTGCACTATGCAAGCATACTCATAGAAATTACAGGGAAGGGGAAGAGGTGGAGCCCCCTCCCTTCTAATGAACCCCAGCACAGAATAACATAAAAATAAGAAATTAAATGCATTGAAAAAGCTCAGACTGTTGCACTACTAATAGCCACGCCCCTAGTGTCCAGTGGTGTGCAGTCATTGGACGAGGGAGACTAGGCTAATCCCCTAAATGTTTCCCTAGTGCCTGCTTCCCAAAGCCTGGGAGGTTTCTGCTTGGCTTAGGAAGAGAGGCGCAATGCTCTGATGGGTCCAAGAGCCCTCCTGCCACCTTCCCAAAGTCTGCCTAGCTTTAGGAAGGAGGCAGCAGAGCTCCAGCATCCTGTCAGAGGCCTGGTGCCTCCTTCCCAAAGCCCAGGAAGTTTCTGCCCAGCTTAGGGAAGGAGGCACAATGCTCACGGGCATGACATCAGCCCCCTCCCCCCAATTGCCCTTGCAAGCTGGTGCCTCTGGCCCTAACTGTTCCCTACAAAAAATTTCATCGCACGCCACTGCTAGTGTCCATTACAGCACTGCTGCAGGACACTTCCCCCTCTGCAACCAGGCATGGTGGAAGCCAATGGAAGGATGGCAACAGCAAGACATTGCCACCCAAGTGCCTTTGAAACAATACAAATGCCACAGTACTCTCAGAAAGACACAGAAACACTCAGGCACCCACACTTTTAACCAACAAAGGCCTGTCCAGGCTGCCAACATTTTGGCATAGGACTGTGTCTTGGAAATGGGTGCTTGTTACAACAACATCAGATATATGGTGTAACGTGCTTAAATGCTGCTGCACCATAAAACCTCTCCCATGCATACCAGCACCAGACTAGCTATGCCCTGATAAAGACCATGGAGCTTTTTATACACAGCTTTCTTGCTTTTAGGATACCTAGCTTCCTAGAGAAAAAATCAGTTTAGTGTCTCATCTTCTGACTTTTCTTTTTCTATGAAAATCAGCAATTAAAGTGTTTCACAGCACACAGTTAAGCGTTATCTCGTACTAATATCTGCAGATGAAGCTGCTATTAAAGGCATAGGAACAGAGGTCAGTTAAAAAGTTGGACACAGTAACTTGCACTGTGCTGGCACTCGTTTTCAGAAGCGCCTGCTGATCATGGTACATTCAAGGCTGGTCACGAGGCCGTGATAATCCCTCAGTTCAAGTGCATTTGACTCGCATGATTTCAACCAAACATGGCTTGAAGGTGGGATGGTTGAAATTGTACAAGTCAAGGCAGGGAGCTTAAAAGCTCTTTTCCTGCTGGGTCCAATCAGGGCTGCCCAACACATAAAGAGCTTTTAAGTTCTTCACCTTGCTTGCTGGGCAAGGCCTGTGCAGCATGCTGGCTCTGAAAGGTTCTGGGATACTCCTGCAAGATTTTGCGGGACAATCTGAGTTCCTGTAAGATCTTGCGCAAGCACCACTAGCCTTCTAAAGTTGCTTGCTGGGCAAGGCCTGAGGCAGTTTTAAGGTAGTGTGACTGGTTTGGTTGCACTGGTCACCGCAATGCAGGGGCCGCCATAAGAATGCTGTCCACCACTGGCAAGGTGCACTCAGCTGACTGGCTCTGGTGATACTGGGGATGCTCTTTCTCTCCCCTTCACTCATTAGCTGCGGAGCAGTTCCAAGGATTTGATTATACACAATTTTTGCTTATATGTGCAATTTTTGGAACCAAACCCCTACGTACGATGAGGGATTACTGTAAACCACTATGAGACTGTGTGCAAGAATGACACTGTTTTCTTTGGTTACAACTAGCAGATATTTGACAGCAAATTTTATTTGTTTAAGTGTCTTTTATGCTATTCTTCAAATAATAGGTGATGAGCCTGTAGTGAGAAGAAGCATAACAGAATGCATTGTTAGGACTTGCCTTTCTAGGCTCACTGTGAATTTTTGCAGAACTGATCTCACTGAAGCTCTAGGAAGATCACTAGGTGGCAGTTGGGCAACAAACCAGACAGGGTAGTTGAAAAGAGGGCTTCCAGTACAAGACTGAGCATTGTTGTATGGATGGGGATCTAAGGCTTGGAGATCAGGATGCCACCCAATCTTGGTGACCGAGATGAGAGGCAAAGCTACGTTTCTCTGACCAAAATCCAGCACTGAATCAGTCCAAAGGATCTTCATGCAGTTCAAATCATATTCATTTACACCTGTCTAGAATTATGGTCTTATCATGAGTAAGATCAGATCCACATCTCAAAGAAGCTTAGGTGTTACCGCTCTTACCTGCCCAATCCAAGAATGCAACACATTCTGTCTGCTCATATCGGCAGGCAATATCTCTAGCCTTTTCACCCCGGGAGGTGGTTGCATAAATGTCAGCTTCCAGTTCTATAAGAGTTTTCAAAGTCTCTAGTTGGCCCCAGGCTGCAGCACAGTGGAGGAGTGTATAACCTGAGAGAGTGAGCCAAATTAGAATGTGTAGTGGTATATAGAATACCCATTTATAACATTCTCTCTCTCTGTCTCTTCATTCACAAAACAAGCAAACATATCCAGCTACTTGGAAGCCAATATTTTAACCAGAATGTACCTTTAGCATCTCAATCTTGAGATTCAAACCATTCATTTATTGTTATTTTTAAAAGCGGGTTATCAGCATTCATTTACATACAGACAAGCAACTAGTGTCTACTTAAGGTTCTGGTACAAAAGGAATTTTGTGCTCAAGATACAATGTATGTTATACATCCTTTTTTTAATTGTAGTCTGTTCTTAGTGATCTCTTCAAAAATGTTTCCCATTGTCCTGTCAATATTATAGATTTTAAAAGAAAACCCAACTTTTGCCTGCTAAACAGATGGTGCAAATTTTGTAAATAATAAATATAGGTACATCTGTCCAATGTATTCCAGGTGAAAACTGTTATGTTCTGATAATGCCTTATAGGGCATTTTAAGGAAAAACAGACTTGTTATGAACTGCTTGCATGGTGTTCTGCAGAGAGGAAGGATCACCCTCAGACAACCAGGTAGAGAGGGCTTTTTTCCCCAACTACAGAGAAAAAAGTATGAGCAGGCAAACTAGTAAAAAAAATGTGGAGTACATTTTATGCATAACTGGTCAGTTATGTACCTCGGGCCGTCTTATCCTTCAGATCAACCCCATATCTTGCCAGTGTCCGGATAACGTCGCTCTGCCCAGCCATACAGGTTGCATACAGCAGGCCTCTGCCCACAATATCCTTTTCCATTAAAAGCCGATTGGCTTTTTCATGATCAGGATCTTCCAGGTCCTCAAAAATCTGTTGTACGCCCTCTGTGTCACCAGTTAGACAAGCTCTCAGGAGAGGATTGAAAGGTGCTGGTTCCTCTTGAGGCCCCAAGTTCTCATGCTCACTTTTGTTTGCCGAGTCCACTATCTCCTCTTTTGATTCCATTTTCCTGGAATAAGCCTGAAAAGGAACAAAATGGAACCTAATTTTTGTCTGCAGGAAATTCATACTATTTGGTCAAGGACAAATCAAAAGGTTGTTAGGTCTCTAAGTATCCTTTCTTTTTGACTAGGGGATGTTGGAAGATAATAAGAAAGAAATCCATCCTAACAGTTATCAGCTCACCCACCCATGATCACATTTTTCCCTTTCCTCATTCTAGTCATACATTTTCCATCCAGATTTGTGGTTGAAAACTAATATGCTTCCCATCTTTCATGTCCACTACTAGGTTTTCCTGTGACTCCTGGGAGTAAGAAAGAATGCAGGAAAAACTACTTCTGAAAAACCTTGTATCACCAGAATTACTACACTCACAGTGTGAATCTGTGCGTGTTTATCCAGAAGAAAGTCCCACTGAGTTCAGTTAGTGCACATAGGATTACAAAGTTCCAACATAACTTTCTCAAAATGTGACCCACAAATATTTGATTACACTACTGGCATAACAACATGTGTTTGAAGAAGTCAGATAAAAAGGGAAGATATCAAAATATTATCTCCTGTTGCTCATAAACAATTGGGTGGAACTTATCCAATCTGAACACCTAATGTTCTTTGTATTCCACAAAATCTGTAAAAAGTTTCAAAATATAATCCTTTTGCCATAGTATTTTCTCTCCTTTCTGGTTTGGTTCAAAGATACTGTTAGATGTCACCCCTATCTCCCTGAGCTGTGCAAGATTCCAGGGGATGCATGTGCGCTATACCCAGGGCCTGGTTTTCCTTTTTGGGGTTTTCCCTAAGAAATGAAGTACACGTATTTGTCAGTCTCATTCAAGGTGTACCAAATCTATTTGGGGGTTTTTGTGTGTTTTTTTGGTATTTGTATCCCTCTTAAACAGCCTTCTCCCAACCTTGGCACCTTCCAGATGTTGGACCAAAACCCTGATCAGCCTCAGCCAGTGTGACCTGGAATCACCTGGAATGATGGGATTTGGGGTACAAAACATTTGAGAGCACCAAGCTGTTGAAGGCTACTCCTGTGTTCTGCTAAGATTGCCAAGTGCCAACCTCTCCATGAAGCCTTTGACATGTTCCCCACTGTGAGGAAGTCTAACTGAAATGAAGTCTTCTCCCATTTTATCCATGCCTTGTGCCCATATCTTGACAAGGAGTCCCTTTTGAGGCAGAGGCCTGTCCCTTTGTTTGTTCTTTGTAAATGTGCCAATGGGTATGTGGTTGGTGCTAAATAAATAAATTAAAATAAAATAAAATATAACCACCACTTTCTGGACACTCAGATTATCCTGCCTGCCTGATAGCAAAACTACAGGGTTTGTATTCAAGCAACTTTTTTTTTATTTCATAAAATTTATACCCCGCTTGATTGTGAAAAATATACGTAAAGAGATAAAACAATAATTTTGAGGAAAAAATCACAACCATACTTTTGAGTATTTTAACTTTTGTATGTTTTAAGAGATTAAAACCACCCCAACTTTCTAAGCATGTGGGTGGGCAGGCCTGAACAAGAATGTTTTTAGCATTCTTTTACTCAGAATAGAGCCATTAACAATTAACGACATAGGTTTATTAATTTTGATAGGTCTACTCTGAGTAAAAGTTAGTTGACTAAAACCCCATGGTTTTTTCCACGCACTCTTCCCCCCCCCAGCTCTCCCCCCCCCCAGCTCCTCGCCCCGCTTTTTCTGACCTCCTCCTTCGCCCCCGCGCTTCCTCCGCGCCGCAGCGCAGGAGCGGATGCCGTCGCCATGGCAACGGCGCGGGAACTCCCTGAGGCCGGAACTTCCGCGCGGCAGCTCGCCGTTCCCGAACGGACACCTAACAGGACCGGGCGGCTTCCGGCCGGCGGTGCACCCGGGTTTGGGGCAGGGGGGGCGCTCGGGGGCGGGGTGTGTGCGCTGCGTGCGCGGCTCCTACCGGCAGTTTCCGGGACCAGCAGGAGCTGCGGGAGCCGCTGCGGTGCCGAAAGAAGCCGGGAAGGACCCTTCGGAAGGCCGCCCCGCCCCCCGCCGCTCCCCGCCTCCGCTGCGAGGTCGGTTCCCGAGGCAGCCGGGGCGGAGGAGGGCGAGGAGGGGCTGGGGGGGGGCGCGAAAGGGGGAGCGCGTACAAGAGCCCCTCAGGCCAAAGGTCCTCCGGTCCCGGGGCCTGCTCCCTTCCAGCCGGGTGCTTCCCCCGTCTGCCGGGCACGGAGGCAGCAGCTCTCTTCGCCTCGCTCCCGGCCCCTGGCATGCAGCGGGGTATACTGCCTCCGAACGTGGAGGCTCCATTTAGCTGTCGCCGTTGATGGACCCCCTGCCCGCCCGCCCGCCCGCCCGCCCGCCATGGATCTTGTTTGTTTGTTTAGTCATCCCGCAGACCCGCTCCTGGGCCGGGGCAAGAAGCCGAGGGGGGAAGGTGAATGGACCCTAGAATATGTCAGGTGGTTTGAGGTGGAGAAAATGGAGTTTGGGTGACCAAGCTGGAAGATGGACTTGCAGCGGGGGAGGGCGGGGGGATCCAGTGCGGCTGCATCGGACCAAGGAGGCGCTGAGTACCACGGGAGGCTTTAGTCCAGGGGATTTATTTAGTTGCTTTATTTTTTGGCCTTCGAGGATGCATCAGTTTGGATCCTGGGCTTTTAGAAGATTTGCCTTCTCTGACAGCTTCCCAAACTTCTGCAGTGATTGGCTGCATAATCCTTTACATGCCTACTCAGAACTAAGTTCCATTGAATCAAACGGGTCTTGCTTCCAGAAATCAGTGGATAGGGTTGCTACTTTAGATGGCCTGCACACGTCAATCTCTTTGGGAATCTGAGATTCACTCTGTTGGTGCCCAGTTTCAGCATCCCATGGAGGTTATCTGATATATTTTTGGGTAGGAAAGTGGAATTTACAGCCTGCAGGCCAATCTTGGCCCACCAGGGGGTCCAGTGAGGTCATTTCCCCCAGACCATGCCCACCCACTATCAGCTGACATCACTGCTGAACGAAGGAGAGAACAGAGGTTAATTCTGCACTGGTGGCATACCCTGTTCCCAGTAGGGAACAGGACCACACAACCTAGGCAGCAAGATTTAGTCCCTGCTTTTCAGCCTTTTTAAACCAATGGTATTGATTATTTAAAGGCAGAGCATTGAGAGACTTACATACCTGTGCAAGGGATTTTAACAGGTGGATGGGACAACCTACCTGTTAGTCATGTGATACCCTAATCACATGTGACCCCAACCACCTGTCAAGTTTGTCCTAATCAGGATCTGACCCTAGCCCAATTTTTGGGAAACCTTGATTTTTCCAGGGCTGAAAAAGTGCTAGAATTCTATTCTGCAGGTGCTGTTTTGGTATAGAATAGGTAAAGCATTTCAAATTCTTAGGTGTTGTAATCTAACTTTTAGGAACCTTTGTAGTCACTCATCAATTTCTTTTTTTGTCCAGTCCTGTTGATCTCAATGGATAAAATGAATAGAAGGCAGGGATTCTTGATTATTCAGGGCTTGTGAATTACCTCAACTTCATAGCAAGGTGAGTGACTGTAAACATGGTTCGTTCACCAATCTCTGTTTTCTTTTAATATGAGTTATGATAGCTGAAATGCTTTTTAATGTTTTAAAAACCATAATTGGACATGGTACTTTTACTTTGGATATGGTAATGGATAAGTATAAAGTTCTGTTTCAGGTAGACTCTGCCCTGATGTTCTGACTACTAGATAAGGAGAGTACTGTATATAAATTTTTAAAATCCTTTTTCTAATAACTGTTTCATTGTACTTTTATATTTGCAATAGTATTGCATATAACAGCCAAATTCTTGTAAAATAGACCCCTTGGGGGATACGTATTAGGAATGGGGCTTTCCTGAACTGCCTGTGTCTTCCGTGGGACTGCAAGTGTGGTGGCCTTGTGTTTGGAGTATCAGACTGACACCTAGGAGAGCAGGGTTCAAATACCCATTGCGTCATGGAGTTTTCTGGGTGACCTTAGTCCAGGGGTGGCCTATCTGGTTTGCCGCCTGAGGCAAAATGGGAAGGTGCCACCCTGCACGTGTGCCACCCGCACCCCCTTGCTGCCCCTTGCTCACCAGGGGTGCACAGTTGTGATTGCAGTGAGGTCTTGCAAGAGGGTGCAGAGGCCTCCAGAGACTCTTGTGTAATCTCGCTAGAAGCCACCGCAGCCCCTTCTCCTCACTTCTCAGCCTCAGTTTGCCTCATGGACAGACCAGCTCTGCCTTAGACCATTCACCATCTCTCAGCTTAGCCTGCCTCAAGGGCTGTTCTGAGGATAAAATTTGGAGGGGGAAAGTGTGCATGCTATATTGAGCTCCTTGGAGGAAAGGTGAAATATAAATGTAAATACAGTGGTGCCTCGCAAGACGAAAAGAATCCGTTCCGCGATTCTCTTCGCCTAGCGGTTTTTTTCAACCCCATTAGCGGCTAAGAGGATTAGCGCTATTAGCGGCTTAGCGGCTTAGCGGCTATTAAAGGCTTAGCGGCTGAGCTGCTAAAAGGCTATTAGCGGCTTAGAAAAAGAGGGGGGGAGCGGGGGAAAAATGGCGAGACTCGCAAGACATTTTCGTCTTGCAAAGCAAGCCCATAGGGAAATTCGTCTTGCGAAGCACCTCCAAAACGGAAAACCCTTTCGTCTAGCGGGTTTTCCGTCTTGCGAGGCATTCGTCTTGCGGGGCACCACTGTATCAGGAATAACTTTCTGAGGGTAAGAGCTGTATGATAGCTGAGTGGACTCCCTCAGAAGGTGGTGGACACTCCTTCATTGGAGGTTTTAAAGCAGAGGTTGGGTGACCACCTGTCAGGGATGCTTTAGCTGAGGTTCCTGCATTGCAGGGGTTTCGACTAGATGACCCTTGGGACCCCTTCCAGCTCTTGGATTTTATAGTTCTATGTTGTGTATATTATGGGAATGTTTATTTTACTTTTATGCCTTCCTGCATCTGGCAAGGGGGTGCACATTTTCACATGCCACTTTAAACCACAGTTAAGCTTAACCTTAGTTTAAAAGTGAAAGCACACTGCGCTAGCGCATGGGGAAAAGATTCTCCCTCACTCCTGCTGCACTATGGAAACTAAGACATGGTTTGGTTTAACCCTAACTGTTTAAAGTGACATGCGAACCAGGCCAATATGGATGCCAAGTGGAAGTAAAATATTAGACAAGCTTGGTAATTTGAACATCTTAAAGAAGAATTGCCTGAGAAAATTCTAATTCTTTTTTTTAAAAAATCTGCATCAAGGAAGGCAGGGTAGAAATGTAATAAATCGTAATTGTCTAATGGGCTTACTCCCTGGTCTGTGTATTTAGGAAAGGAGACCTCTGTTTCCTCTCCTCCCCCATGTGCCTCCAAAAACTTCTCTGGAGGGTCTCTGGGGAGCTAGAGGGGACAGAAGAGGAAACTCCATTGCACACTTTGGAACTCTTGCAATGTTGGAACTGCAGCATGAAGACTAAGTTATACTCTTAATAAACCTATTGCAGCAAATAGATTTAAGTTGGTAATGGCCAACCTAAGTCAACTGATTTCATTGGATTTACTCTATGCCCTGATTATACTACTCATAGATTACGGATCAGTAGAGTGGATTGTCACATGCTATATCATTCTTTTCTTTAGCACTGGCACAGAAGTGTAGGTTGAAGACTTCTCTTTGCAGTGCATGGACGGAAAGCCAATGCGCAGGTAAGATGCAGAAAAAGAAATTATCGTAGGTTAAATTCAAACATTAAACCAAATCATGGTTTATACTAATCACAGAGAAGAACGCAAACCATGTTTAAGTTATGTATACACAGAGACAAGAATGATTTAGACTTTCTTCTCATTTTCTTTCTGCTCAGTACACCTGTTTCTGTGGTGCAATTGCCTCTTGAGATAGGAGTGATAATTATAACTACAATGGTACCTCTGGTTGCAGACGGGATCCGTTCCGGAGGTCCATTCGGATCCCGAGGTTTCTGCAAACGGAGGTGCCTGTTCTGCGCACACATAGATAGAGCGCTACTGCACATGTGCGTGCGGCAAAACCCGAAAATATACCGTATTTCCCCCTCTATAACACGCAGATTTTTTCTCCTAAAAAGGAAGGGGAAATGTCTGTGCGTGTTATAGAGCGAATGTGTGGTCCCTGGAGCCGAAAAAGCAGGCAAAAATCAAATCGTGCTTCACGGAGAAGGGAAACCTGAAAAGAGGAAGTGGCTGCTTTCCTGCATTCTGCCTCAGGGTCTTACTGCCCACCCGCCTCTGTTTCGTTGCTGTGTTTGCTGAAACGAACAAAGAGCAGGGAAAGCCCCTCCCCTCCAGGCAAGCAGAGGGGAAAGCAGAGTGTCGTGCTCCAGTGCTGCTGGGGGAGAGGGAGAGAGAGGGGGGGGGAGGGAGAGAGGGGGGGAGGGAGAGAGGGGGGGGGAGGGAGGGAGGGAGAGAGAGAGAGAGAAAGAGAGAGAGATGGCTGGCTTGGGTGGGGGGGAACTTTTGCCTTTCTTTTCTCCCTCCCGTTAAATCCCTCTCCTGCATTCTTAGCCAGCTGCTTCTCTGTACACCCCTCTCATGTCCCTTCTTTGTTTTTCCTTCGCTCCCCACTTAAAATGTGGTTACAAAGCATAGATGCACATGGATCCTCAGGATCTTTGCATTGGGTCGCCCCAAATTCACCATCAGATCACATAGCATGTCCATGGCTACAGCCTGCCCCCCAAAAATCACGCACCCACTGTTGCCTGGGGCTGCAATGGTGCAAAAATGTGGTTAAAAAGCATGGATCCACAGGGATTCTCAGGATCTTTGCATTGGGTCACCCCAAATTCACCATCAGATCACATAGCATGTCCATGGCTACAGCCTGCACCAAAAAAATCACGCACCCACTGTTG